TAGCCTTGAACTTATGATTCTCCTGCTTCAGCCTCCCAAGTTGCTGGGATTACAGGCATGTACCAACCTGTCTAGTAGAAGAAAACACTTTTAAAATCACCTTGTAACTTAAATTTATTCAAATGTCACTTTACATATATAAAGCACACCAACACCAAAAATATGCCCTCTGCCCTGCCCCTTGCCATGTAGTTGGTATGAGTGGGTTGTTCAGAAATACCTGGATGACAAGCTCTTATATTGAACAGGTGGTCCATGACATCTTGTTCACCTTGTGAAGAGATTAGAGAACCCTGTAATACTAGCAAACAAGTATTTCTGTCATTATGCCCTGGAGAGTTTGGATAGTGTCACAAAGGATAATTGCTAAGGTAGTTTGAGGTATGTGAATAACGTATGATTAAACTACCACCTACAAAGAAGGATTATGGCAACAACAACAGTTTCTTGTGGTGGCTGGGGTGTGGCCCAGTGGTAGAGCACATGCTTAGTGTGCCTAAGTTCCTGGGTTTGATTCTCAGTAACACACAAACAAATCCCAAAGCTCAGTTTTCCCTGTGTTTTCATCACATTCTAAAAACATTTTGTTAGTGAATCAGTGGTTGTGAGAGATGGTGCATTTAAGTACACTCTTATAATGTATCCCTAGCTAGTGGTTAATCTTAGATTGGCTTTCTCCTCTAACATTCTACACACCTGTTCTATCAGTATTCACCCAGATACTGCAATCAGCTGGGGAGCTTTTAAAAATGTGGATGCTCAAGCTCCACCTCAGATATTCTAGGTTGTCCTGAACATTGATGTTCTTTGCATTCAGGAGAGGTAAATGCCTAGTCAAGGTTGGAAACAATCTGTCTATATGGTTTTCGATGGAAATCTGACTCGAAGGGCATAGTCTAGAGAAAACTATGGGTAAATAGGTTTTTCAAGCTGTATATATAGAAATAGATATAGATATAGATATCTCCTATTATCTCTACTATTTTTTCTTTCCATTGTCATAGTTGATTGAAATGAAATGTAGTCTTCTTGTAATTCCCATAGACAAGCGTAATTTATTGACCTGTAAAAATTATCACTTCATCCTTCTTTAGTGTTTCACACTTCATGAAAACTGCTTTCTGTATTGGAGAAGAGTACTTATTCTTAGCTTGGTTGGACTCTTGACTAGTATTGCAAATTTTGAGCTATCTTTTCTTTAAATATTGAGGCAGGAATATTTGCTTCTCCCAGATCTTAAATGTAAGCATTCATGATATGAACTAGTGTCAAAGTGTTTTTTGCCCTCATGGAAGAGGTAACTTGTAAATGTCTTCATAGTTGAGAGTCATTACCTAAGTATCTTATTGGTAACATTATATATTGATTCTTCTTGTTACCTCATTCAAACAAATTATCAAAATGTTGTTGCTGGGGCTGGAGTTGTGGCTCAGCGGTAGAGCGCTCACCTAGCACGTGCAAGGCCCTGGGTTTGATCCTCAGCACCACATAAAAATAAATAAATAACATAAAGGTATCTTTTTAAAAAAAATGTTGTTGCTGTCTCTAATACACTGGTAATCATTTTAATAATTATCCTTTGGGCTGGATAGTTATTAAAATGATAGTTATTAATAACTATCCTTTGGGGCTGGGACTGTAGCTCAGTGGTAAAGTGCTTGCCTTGCATGTGTGAGGCACTGGACTCAATCCTTAGCACCACATAAAAATAAATAAAGATACTGTGTGTTCATCTACAACTAAAAAAATACTTTTTTTAAAAAAACTGCACTTTTTAGTTCTGAGAGCAATTCTAAAAAATGAGTAATGTGTCTAAAACAAAGTATTTGTTATTGTTATTGTTGCTAGGTACTTTCTGAGTAATATTATACAATACAGATTATAAAAGTTTATTTGAATAAATGAATATGGATTTTGTTAACTGCTAATTGCTTTAGCTTTATTGCTTACCTGAAAAGCTTTATGAAACTAGTATTATTCAGTACTAACCAATACTAGTGTTCATTATCAGCATTCACAAATAATCCATTCTGCTTTCTTGAGTTTGTGTGATATTAGCATTTCCTATGTATGAGTAAAGCAAGTATGAGCATCAAGTTTGCATTTAAGTTGTCTTATAGTTAGTGCCTTTCACACTGTATGTTCCATTATTGAGTATGTATGTATGTGTATGCATAGGCACATGTGTGTGTAAGGGATAGCTTTGAGTCTCTATTTATCATTGCTGATATCCTATCCTATTTAATTTTATTAAATAAAATTCGTAGAAGGCCATTGATTTGGTCTTAGCTCCTGAACTAGGTCCTAGCAGATTAATTCAAAATGGAGCCATTTATGCTCAGGTTTTATGTCACCAAACCAAAACATAACCTATTGCTTTGTAAGATCTGACCTTCTGAGAGATCTGGAGGGAGTTGGTAGATAAATTACCAAACAGGTAATTTAAAAACAACAACAACAATAACAGAATGTTCACAGTAATTAACCAAAAGGAACTCAGTCAGCCTGGGCCAGATAAGGAAATTCCCTCTGCTTTAACCTGATGCTAACCAATTGCTTTTTGCAGTGTGCTATTTCCATGTTCCTCCTTATGCTGTCAAAAAAGAACTCTCCAGACATGCCCAGTTAGTTCCTGTCTGTTTGGACTGGTTGCTGCCTAGTTCATGTATCACTGATAAAAGTGCATTAAATCTTTAAAACTTGATTTGTTGAAATTTTTTTTCTATGACAAACTACACAGTAATTACCTTGGAGCTACATTGAGCACAAGATTGTTGTCTATAAACTTTGTGGTATTTCAAGTAATCATTTAGAGTGTTGTTCTGTTTCAGAAGTATAAAATACTTTCATATTTGGTAGAGCAACACAACACCAATCATGTGATTTTTAACTCTGAAGTTTGTCTTTCTATGTGGAGGCTTATTTGGAATTAGGTAAAAATCATGATATAATAGTCTTGGTGGACATGGTAATGTTAGGATTTTAAGAAATGGGCTCAGATACTTGAAATCAAGATGTTTTTATGTTTTTTATTGAAGAATTGGTGGGTTTTTCAGGATGTTCTAGAATGAATCTCAAAGGAATTTTTGTCTTCCGGGGCAAGAGTCTCTTGGAATAGTAAAATAGATAAGTAAGGCCAATGGCATAACAGGTCATGTTGGTATAGACAGTAAACTGTGTAGATGATTTCTGTCTTCCTATGTTTAAATCTTATGTCTGTCACTAGCTTTGTGGTCTTGGACAAGTTAGTCAATCTCTGTGAATTAATATTCCTTATTTGTTAGTCAATCTCTGTGAATTAATATTCCTTATTTGTAAAATGGGCATCTTAATAGTCCCTCCTTATTGAGTTGTGAGAAATGAGTTATTATATACAAGGACTTTAGAACAGAGACTGACACCTTCCCCTTAACCCAACCATAGCTGCAGCCTCACAGAATTGACCTTACAAAAAATAAAGGACTTATGATGGTCATTTTTATTTTACCTATGGTCATAGGTTTAGTTGAAATTTTCAATATGCATTGTTTCAGTTTATAACTAAAATCTGGCTGCATAACTAGCCCATTGCCATTTTCGTGTCTTTCAGATACTCTCAGCCCCTGCATGAAGAAATAGCCTTGCATAAGCATTTGAAGCACAAAAATATTGTCCAGTATCTGGGCTCTTTCAGTGAGAATGGCTTTATTAAAATCTTCATGGAGCAGGTCCCAGGAGGTAAGAGTTGCTTTTTTTTTTTTTTTCTTTTAAAAGTAAAAGAACTGGAAGAGGAGCAAAATTGAATGAAATTTACTAGAGTACAGGTTTTAATTTATCTCCACACACACACACACAAAAAGGTATGTGACATTACCATGAAGTTTGTTTGGAGACAGTAAATAAATATTAGAACCATTTTAGTTTTCATCATAATGAATTGGATTAATTTTAGCAATTGATTGGGTTTTTACTTAGACTGTATTGATTGTGACCATCTCCAAAGTAGGGACATTTTTGAACTCATGTTTGAGCCCAGTTCCTGGGTCTCTGTGAAGACCAATGAATGTTGGCTTATGTTGACTTAAATCAGTGTCGCGTTATTAATATGCTTCAAACAGCTCTCTTGGATGAGATTATCTACTTTTAATTTTCCTTTACAGGAAGTCTTTCTGCTCTCCTTCGTTCCAAATGGGGCCCATTAAAAGACAATGAGCAAACAATTGGCTTTTATACAAAGCAAATATTGGAAGGATTAAAATACCTCCACGACAATCAGATAGTTCACCGGGATATAAAGGTAGGAGACACCATGATTCATTTTCATGAGGTCCTTGCTGGATAATTGTTTTATTTTCAAAATTCTCACTGTATTGTGACTATTAATTAGGAACAGTGAATATTAAGTCAGTCTTAGAAACAGCAGAAATAAAATATTTCACACTACTCTTAATGTTATTTACATTCCTGTGTTCTTCTTCTGCACACGGAATAAACTCCTTAGCCATGCTTAACCAGTAGCCTGTGCTGTCACTGTGTGTGATGTTTTGTAGGAGCTCTGTGGGGTGGGGTGCACAGTATAAAGTCAGACAGGACATGTGGCCATTCCTGAGTTACTAACAGCCTTTGTCCCTGCCCATAATCACTGCCTATAAATATGTATTGAATCAGTGGATTCATGGTTAGATGAAAAAAATAATTAAAAGACCCTTTCTTATATATTCATGCATGGAATATATAATGAGGGAACTACAATTATAGATTCTCTAAAATAACAAACTGAAATAATAACATTAAGATTTTCTTTAAAAAAGAATAAATTGTTGACAAAGGCTTGACTCTTAAAGTAAGTTAATATCACTACCCTAAAATCAATTCGAATGCCCATTTACCTTTAATGTTCCTAAATATTCCAGGGAAAGAAATCGAGCAACATAGAAAAGAAAGAGTGACTGGGAAGCTATGAAATTCGTATTGTATCTTATCCATGGATTATACACAGCTAACTTCTGTTGTGTGTAAACTGTAGTGAGCTTTTCGCCTGACCTATGACCTGAGTAGCAGATTGTGAACAGCTGATAATATGTAAACAAAAAATATTGACCAGAATTTTCTGTTGAGATTAACTGTTAATGAAGGGCAAAGAATGAGCATCCTTGATTGTTCTAAGTACTTCTTTAAAATATATATATATATTTTAAAAGTCAACAATAAACCGTATCTGAAGAAAGATAACATTTTTGATGGCAATCCTCTTTCCCCAGGGTGACAATGTATTGATTAATACCTATAGTGGTGTTCTCAAGATCTCTGACTTTGGGACATCAAAGAGGCTTGCTGGCATAAACCCATGCACTGAAACTTTTACTGGTATGTTTTTATGATAATGATACAGATCTTACATAATTAAAGAAATAATTGCTGAGTTTGAGCTTAAGGTGTGAGATAAACTGAGTCAGTGTTCTCACGCACATTAACATTGGTGTCGTTTGGTGCTCATTGAAAAGTGTTACCCAGGATTTGGTCTGTCCCTCTTGTTTTTTTGTGTGTGTGTTTATATGTCTTGCTCAGTCTCCTGCTTAATGCCACCAAAGATTATTTTTAATTCTCAGTTTGTTATTTGTTCTTCTTTTCCCGTCACTGCGTCTCTCTCCTGGTTGGCCTACAGCCACTCTAACTCTGACAAGATTACTCTTTTTAAACATTTTCCTAGTCCAGCTTCTCTGTGACTCTTACTCATACCCGAATCTCTTGCCATCTGGGATCTGAATTCCCTCTTCCCTACCCTGCTTTCTTCCTGGGATCTATCCTCTACTCCACGGTATAAATAACCCCGTAGGATTTCAATTCAGAAAGAGGAAGTGACTCACTCTCTCAGAAAAGGAGAGAGGAGAGAGCTTTCCTGAAAAATTAGGCAATACAACAATTGATCTGCTTCTAGTGCAAAGTCCTGGAAGGGTGGAGACCAAGTGACTTAGAGAAAGGCAGAGGTGGCCAAGGGGAAAGTGGAGCTCAAGAGATGAAAGACTGCTCCTCAGTCCCCAGGAAGCAGGAAAGGCACCTGGGACTTCAGACCTGGTCTCTGCCCCAAGCTCCTTGTTGTAATTGCTGAGGGGGTGGGGAGAGAAATTGAGCAGAATAAAAAAGGTCAAGACTAACCTGTAGTCTAATGCAAAGAAAAATGGCCCGATGGCCCTGTTCTGATTCCCATGAGGGAGGCAGAAGTGCCTCTTTTGTAGATGAGGCATTGACTGGGAGTCAAGGGACATCGTGGCAGGGTCACAGCGACTTGTACATGATGGAACTTGGGTTTTCAGCCTGCCCTGGGCTCTTTGTGCTCACCTGTTTCCAACTTCCTCTCTACCTTTCTGGTGTCCTGATAGCCTGGGAGGCAGAGAGGAGAGGGAGGAATTCCCAAAGTTCTTTCCTCAGGACTTCAGTCGGCAACATCTCCAGCCCAGGCCCTTCCCTCAAGGCAGTGGTTATTTTAGGCATAGAATTACACATAGTTAGAATGCATTTTTTTTTTGAATAAAATACATTCCAACCTGTTAGCAGCTTTCAGTGGCTTTACATTTCTTTCCTCATCCTCTCTCAACTTGGCAAGAGACATTTTAGATGCTGCCAAGACTCAGTAACTTCTGAGAGGAAAATCCCTACTTTCACACACTTTTTTTTTGAGCAGGATGTTAATGTAATATCATCTGCTAATCTCAAAAACATTTTTTTTTTTAATTCCCCAAGGAGCTGTAAGAAAGCAGTCCTCACAGGGCCCTGGGCTTGTACCTCCCCCAACTGTCCTCATGACAAAGTAGCTTAGAGCTCTCCCAGCACTGGTCAGAGTGCCACGGCATGTGGGTCTCTCACCACCAAAGGCCTCAAAGCTCTAATTCAGTGCTCACTGAGTCCCAGGTGCTTAGTCACCTCTAATGAATTTAGTGTAATGACCATGATTTGTTTTACCTCTTGGTAATTTTGATGAGGGGAAAGGCAGCAGTAACCATCATTTATGAAGTACTCACCTGGCGCCATGCCAAGTGCTTTATGCACATTGAAATTCATCCATCAAGCCCTAATCATTAGCTATCATTATCCCGGTTTATGGTGAGAAAAGTAAGGTTCAAAGAGGTTAAATAACTTGCCCAAGGTCACAAAACTAGGTAGTTAATAAAGCTTGAGGTTTAAACGAGACTTAACATGCCAAATGGAATTACTGTCTTCTCCCCAAACCTGTTCCACCCACACTCTTCCCTGTCTCAGTTAATGGCCACTCTACTCCTGCATTATCACCCCGTGCTCCGTTTCTCATACTCTCCAGCCCAGTCTGTGGAGGAAGCCTGTTGGTTGTACCTTCACAGTGTGGCCAAAACTGGACCAATTCTCACCTCCCCACGGCTGCCACCCTCCTTTCTCACCCACAGTCCTTCCACAGCTTCCTAACTTACCTGCCCCCTACTGTCTGTTCTCAGTACAGCACCTAGAGTGATCCTTTCAAAATATACAGCGAATCCCATCACTCAGAAGCCTCCATGACTATTTTCTCCCAGAATACACAAGGACCCACATCCTCACCGTGGTGGACAAGACTCTGACCTGATTCGGAGCCCATTCCCTCTCAGACCTCACTCCTAGTTTTCTCCTCTTGTTTATTCTGCACCACAAAGCCCCACACTTCCTGCATTTCCTTTGTGAAATCAGGTTGGGTCCTGCTGCAGGGTCTTTGCATAACTTTACCTCCTTCTAGCCTTAACTCAGATGTCACCTGCATACACCCCATTAATAATGGTAGTCTTCCTGGGCACTGCTGACTCTGTTTTTGTTGTTTGTTTGTTTGTTTTGGTCATAGCATATCAATTTTCACCATACTGTATAATTTATCAACAGTGTATTATCTATTATTTTTCTTGTATGACAAAAATGTAAGTTTTGTAAGCCCAGGATTTTCCTTTATTCTACTGTTACACTGTATTAGTGTTTTTGTTGTTGTTGTTTTTTAATTGTATGAAAGATTAAGCCCAGGGGTCTTTACCACTGAGCTGCATCTCCAGCAGATTTTTTATTTTGAAACAGGGTGACAGGGTCTCACTAAATTGCCTAGGCTAGCCTCAAACTCGCTATCCTCCTACCTCAGCTTCCCAAATTGCTGGGATTACAGGTGTGTGCCCTGCACCTGGCCGTCCACTGTGGTATTCTAAGTGCCTAGAACAGGGCTTGGCTGGTGGTGGGCCTTTAGCATACATCTGCTGAATGAATGAATGAATGAACAAATTGTGACATCAAAGATTACGCTGTTAACCATTAAGCTGTACCACCTCCTAAGATAGTTGCAATGGCAAAGAAATTTTAAAATAGATATTTAACAGTAATTTTTTAAAAATTTAGAATGCAGATATGTGAGGTATAGGTCTTGGAGTTGACCCCCTGACTTATTTTCCTTAGCTTGATGTTTGCATTTGCTTGTATTTTTATAGTCTAGTCCTGGAAGTCTCTTTATGTTACAATATTGGGTCTAGGGGATATACCTCAGGTGCTTGCCTAGCATTCATGATGCGCTGATTCAATCCCCAGCACTCCTCCAAAAAAACTTATGTGTCATGTATCTGTGGAGTAGATAGAGGAACAGATTTGAATACATAACAACCTGGTTTTTTTTAAAGAGAGAGAGAGAATTTTTTAATATTTATTTTTTAGTTTTCGGTGGACACAATATCTTTTTTATTTTATTTTTATGTGGTGCTGAGGATCGAACCCAGCGCCCTACGCATGCCAGGCTAGTGCACTACTGCTTGAGCCACATCCCCAGCCCCAACAACCTGTTTTTTGTAACTTGTTCAGTGAAGGCTGGATGACACACTTGGCAGAGGGAGCTATTTTGTATTTCATCATATTTTTTGGTGCTCTATAGTACACAATGGTGACTTGTTGTTATGTATTTGCACATGGACACAGTTATAACAATATGATTGGGTCAGTATCCTTCCCCAGTATTTCTCCTTCTTGTCCCTTTCCTCTACTGATCAGATAGAGCTCCTATAAATAATGCCTGATTGATAAAAATATTGTATCATTTATTATTGGCATTGCTTGAATTATACCAGTTTTTAAAATTTACTATATTTTCTGATTAGTTGTAACTCCCACTCAGATATTTGTGCAACATAAATTCTCTTCACCAATTCTTTTATAGAACCAGAAGTAACAGCAAAACATAGTATAGGTTTCAGCACAAGTTTTCTAAAGGCCCTCTTGATTTATTTAAATTAAAAAAATTATCACTTTGGGAAAAACTATGAATGAAGAGAAATTGTAACAATTTTATACTAAGAGTAGTTGAGTCTTGGGAGGAGCACGGTTGCCTTATCCATGGCAAGGAGAAAGGCTTTCCTCTGGTGATTTTGCCAGTTTAAGCTGAGAGTGTAGATGTGTACTGTTGTATGTGAACATGAATTTGAGCTACTGTCATATGGGGAGAATAAAATTCACAATATGTCAATCCTTGAAAAATTTCATACTTTATTTTTTTTTGAACAACAGTCAGTTTCTAGCTTTGGACAGTGGGCTTCATGGGATCAATTTGGAGGAACTTTACATCACAGTTTTCCTATAAATCACACATGAAGTATTCATTTAAGCTGTCATCTGTATTTATCAAAATGTCAGTTTGATTATGAATCAGAAATACTGATGTAGGTCTTTGGCAAACACCTCAGAATTTGAAGTAATTCAGCACTGTCCCCTTGGATGAGTTCTTGTTTGCTGATTATCATGTGAGTGTATCAGAAATGGGGAATATGGTGACTGTCTTAGCTTTCTGTCATTGTGACAAAATACCTGAGAAAAACAACTTCAAAGGAGGAAGGATTTATTTTGGCTCACAGTTTTGGAAGTTTCAGTCTGTAGTCAATTGGTCCCATCACTTTGGGGCTGTGGTGAGGTAGAACATCATGGCAGGGGACAGAGCAACAGTGGCTCAACCCAGGGCAGCCAGGAAGCAATGAGAGAAGAGGGGTCAGGCTCCAATATCCCCTTCTAGGGTGGGCCCTTGAGACCTAACTTCCCTCCACTAGTCCCCACCACCGCCCAGGAATATCATCAGCTGGGGTCGAAGCCTTTAACACATGGGCCTTTGAGGGACATTTAAGATGTGAACCATAACAGTGACATGATGTTCCTGTTCACACTCCTGGCCCATCCCCATTCTAGAGGGTAATAGAAGTCCAAGTCTTGCCTGTCATCTTGAGTGTTTCCCTGGAAGGTACCAGGGCAGGGCTAGAACCAGGGGCTCTCAGCTTCTCATTTTGTGCTATTCCCCTTATAGAGCACTCTTATCTGATTCCATGCAGCCTTTTCTATCTCTTTTTCTATCTCTCTTTTTCATTTATTCTTATAGGTGCTATGGGGGGGGGTCTGTCTCTGTTAATGGCTCATGATCTTTTGTGATTTGTCCAATCTGTTTTTTCATGGATGTCAGATACACAGCAGGAGTCAGGTATATTTGATTTATAGAAATTATTTGCATTGTTTTTCACCATGATTTTCAGAATCTTAATGCTACCATGTTTAAGAAACAGATATGACTTTTTTTTTAATTTTAAAAAACCTTGAAGCCAGAGATGGCACAACTATAGTCCCAAAGACTCAGGAGACTAAAACAGGAGAGTCTCAAGTTTGAGGTCAGTCTCAGCAACTTAGTGAGATCCTATCTCAAAAAATAAAAAGGGTTGAGCGTAGCTCATTGATAAAAATACCCCCAGGTTCAGAAGGAGGGAAGGAAGGAAGGAAAGAAGGAAGGAAGGAAGGGAAATTAGCACATGAAAACCTATACATATTTGTAGTGTGCCACATGGTTTTTTGATACCTGTATAGTTTGTATAATGTTCAAATCAGGGTAAGCCTATTTATCTCCTCAAACATTTATCATTTCTTTGTGGTGAAAGCATTTGAAATCCTCTCTTCTAGGATCTCTTTTTTCTTTTTCTTTTTTTAACATTATCATTCTCTGTAGTTGCCCTACTATGCAGAACTTCTTTCTCCTATCTAACTAGGTCTTCATACCCATTACCAACCTTTCCATGTTCTTCTCTCCACTCTCCTTTCCCCAGTCTCTGGTAACCACTGTTCTGTCTCAACATCTAGGAGGTCAGCCTTTGTAGATTCCACAAAGTGAGATCACATGGGATTTGTCTTTCTATGCCTGACTTTTATTTAACATAATGACCTCCAGAATGAAAACAGAACTAAGCATTCAGTCTAGGAACTGAGAAATACAGATCTAAGGAACTGGATGAATGACTAGATTTTTTTTCCTAGAAAAGATTAAAAGTATACATCATAGCAGTCTTCAGATATTTGAAGAACTGAACACAGAAAATGTATTGATGTATTCTCTGTCATTTTCAAAAGACTCATGGTTAGGGGAATGATGCCTCGATTACACTCCCCCATCTAGGGAGTGAGGGTGGACCTATTTATGACCAGATGATGATATCAAACTATTTCTGTGTCCCTGATAAAATCCATCATAAAAAATTCCTATTTCTACTTTTGTAAATAGCATAAGAAACTGGGACTGGTATTAGGACCAGAATCATGATTTGAAATTTGTCTTACTTAGAAAAATTGAAGCTGTCATTAGATAACTTTGTTTTCTCTTTTTAAAGTGGAAATGTGTTTGATGTGCTTTCAGGTACCCTTCAGTACATGGCACCAGAAATAATTGACAAAGGACCACGAGGCTATGGAAAAGCAGCAGACATTTGGTCTTTGGGCTGCACAATCATTGAAATGGCTACAGGAAAACCACCGTTTTATGAACTAGGAGAGCCACAAGCAGCCATGTTCAAGGTCAAATTTCGTATTATCTTAAAGGGATCAAGTTCCTCATAGCTACTGGATAGGCTTTGTGTTCTACGTGTATATATTGTATTTTGTTTGGGGCAAGGAGCCTAAGTAAGCAGGAGATGAGAGCACATTCAAGTCCAAGAAGATTCCCTCTCCCTGGAGGCAGGGCCACGGCCTTTCACAAGGCATCTCTCTGCTTTGGTTTTCTCAGCTCTAGAAGGAAAGTCAGTGGAACTCCCTTGGACCCCCTTCCAGCAGCACAGTGTAAATCACACACCACTGTGTGGAAAGTGACTTGTGCTGTTTGGGAAACGGTCTGAGTGTTTTCCATGGAGGGAGATCTAGGAACATTTTTTTTTTATCCAATTAAGGATTCGATCAAAGCAATATTTTCCTTTATTTCTCGATCCTAATAGTTTGGAAGTCCATTTTTAAAAAGGGCATAATTACCATTTTAAGTCAATCAGTCTTATTCTTTGAAATCTGGTTGGCTAGCCTGGTAACTGGCTGAAAAGTAATTTTTTGGAACATGGGAAGCAACCCCAGTTCCCAAAGTAGGAGGCACTGATGGAAAGAGGCCTGAGAGAGCCATGGCTACAGTTTGGGGATCTAAGGACTGTAGCCTTCCCTTGCTAGACTAGATGAGTGGGAAATTTAAAATGGAAAAGTGTTTTTCTCCAATGCAGAGGACTTCTGAGGATCACTGTTACCCTCTACCTCCCCTGGCTGCATTTCTAGCCTTTGCTCATTTGCATGTGGCCTCCCATGAGGGGCCATGGTGTACACAGCTCTTATTTTTTTTTGCCAAGTATGGCTTAAACTTGAAGGCAATCTGCTGGGATGCTGCTGGTAGAAAAAGGAGGGCTGTAAGTCAGTTTCCTCATCTACAAAATGGGGATAAAAATAGTAACTATCTAACAGGAGTTTTTTTGAGGAGTGTCTGAGTTAATATATGTAAAACTCTGAGAATAGTTTCTGACACATACTAAATGCTATGTAATTATAAGTAATTATATATTATTATTTTTATAAAAGTAAATTTATATGAGCTTTATCATACCAAAAATATGTCCTTAGAAGATTTTCTCTGTACTAAATACATGTACTAAATACATCATTAAAATTTTTTTGGGGGGGGTATGTAGTACTAAGGAGTAAACCCAGGAGCACTCTACCACTGAGCTACATCTTCACCCCTTTTTATTTTTTATTTTTGAGACAGGTCTCATTGAGTTGCCCAGAACTTGTGATCCTCCTGCCTCAGCCTTTCAAGTTGCTGGGATTACAGGCGTGTGCCACTGAGCCTAGTCCAAAACTTTTTAGAAATAGCAGCAATGAGAAGTAAATTCTAATTGTGATAGAAAGTACTATTTGTTTAATTTCAAAATACTTTTATATATTTCATGATGTAGGTTATTTGAGAGAGGGGCAGTATTCATTAACAAATTATTTAACACGGGGAAGAATATAGGCTATATTTCAAGCAAAGCAAGGTTCAAATCCCAGTTCTGCCTTTCCATAATCATGTAACCTCAGCCCATCTAAGCCTTATTTTCCTCACTGGTATAAGAGGGATAATCCACTGGATTGTCAGGTTTGCCCTTTATGAATCTCCTTGAAGGTTAAGCACAATACATGGCATATAGCTATTGTGAGCAAATCAGTTATATCAATTAAAAAAAAAACCTTTTTGAATGTTAAGGTACTAATGTTAAGTTACTTCATAGTGCATCTTCTGTCTTAAGCTAATTACTCTGGATGTGTCATTGGTAAAGTTCCAGATGCTCTCTGTAAGCTCTTTATAACCTATAGAAAGTGCATCAGTGGGCTTGGAAAAAAGCATGAGCTTGTAACATGTTGAGGGGACAAGTGGTAGGACATGGACAAGATGCTCACTCAGGAGTTTCATTGTGCTTTTTCTTTTTTCTGTTCATGCCATAGGTTGGGATGTTTAAAGTCCACCCTGAGATCCCAGAGTCCATGTCTGCAGAGGCTAAAGCATTCATATTGAAATGTTTTGAACCAGACCCAGACAAGAGAGCCTGTGCTAATGACTTGCTTGTTGATGAGTTCTTAAAAGTTTCCAGCAAAAAGAAAAAGTCACAATCCAAGTTTTCAGGTATGTATTTGCATTGAAGAGGATCTCAGTAGAGTTAGTACATCCTAAGCTTTTAAGATGGAAGATTTTTCCAGAAATAAAATTCTCTGTTTACAGAGATTCCTGGAAATTGTTATAAACGATGTTCTCAGGCATTTGTTTCCAATACCAGGGAGCCATGTCTCCATCAATTTTACAAATGCTGAGGCCTCATACATCAGTGATCTTCCATCACACAGTAGATGGTTAGTATATCAGCATTTTAAAAATTTATTTATTTGTTTGTTTTTTTTTTGAGATAGGGTCTCCTAAGTTGCTTAGGGGCCTCACTAAGTTGCTGAGCATGTGATCCGCCTGCCTCAGTCTCCTGAGTCACTGGGATTACAGGTGTGCACCACTGCATCCAGTTAGCATTTATAAGTATTCTATCATTGAGATCCTAAGGTTAAAGTCTAAAAGAGGTGAAATGTAGCCTTCTAGAACTGAAATCCCAAATTACCACTAATGGGCTACAGGACTATTTGAGAGCTGTTAAACTTCCAAGCCATCTAGGTAATATGTTCTTTTAACATTAGTTAGTAGAAAATACATGCTATCCCATAGAACAAGAAAAAGAAGATTGACAACTATAAATAAAACAGCAGTATAAAAACTTAAGTAAATCGTCTTTTTGCAATAATTTCCAATACTCATTTCAGTAAGAAAACAAAGGATCCATTTATTCATGGCATCTTTAATGTTAGTACTGGATGAGGATGGGCAGATTCAATGTTTGGGAAGGGCATTGATCCCATTTCAAGACACTTTTTGTTGATTTCTCAGTTTAACAACAAGGCCAACATGTGCTTATGCTGCTGTTTGCTTTTCTTCCCACAGTGCTTTCCGCTGGATCAAATGGTGAGTTTGTTTTACCTATTGAGCAGAGGGCTGTCATTTCACGTCCCATCTCTCCATAAGTAGCCACAACTGCACTCCTTGCTCATACATGGGGACTTCTGAGTACTAAGGAGTTGGGCTACTGCAAACCTCGCTGGGCTTATTGCTTCAGAAACCTGTTCCCTTTCTCTTTCATAAGGGAGGCCTGAATTGTTATTCCCTGAATGCAAGATAATGACTGTGTTTTGAGGTCTTCAATTTGAGTGAAGTCCATGTTTTCTTATATAGGAGCCAGTTGGCCACCTAATGGCTTTCTTGTGGGAAATTTCAGTTCTAGATACCCCCCTCTTTTGCCTTTGGGGTAATACATTCTGTTTTAATGGGTCAAGGGTGATATTTTTGTTTTTGCAATTTGGCTTTTGCATATCATAACCAGGAAGCTAGATTTACTCTAGGAAGATCAACTGAAGCATTTCAAAGAATTATAAAGAGAGGAACATATTTGAGATTCTTTTATGTTGGATGAGGGATTGATGGAAGCAGGGGTCTTAAGATCCATTGTGCCTGGGGTTTGTGGGCCAAATGGGGGAGGTTTTAGCAGGTGCTTTGGATGCCTCAAAGCCAGTTACCCAATGAGACCAAAGCCAGTTACCCAGAGACCCATTAATTGGGGGTTCCTGAGAAGTCTTCCTGTCTTCTTTCTGGAATTCCAAGAGTAGGGTGGAGGGACCTTTGAGAAGAGAAGAGACATTCTCCATACCCTCTGTTTGTTTCTCCATAGGCCTCAAGGCCCCTGGGAGACAGTCACTGCACTTTCCCAGGGTACCCCAGCAGGGCCTCCAGCCTTTTGCACCATCTGCCTTTAGCATTGTCCCAGAAGTCAGTTCTAATCCAACTGAACCACTTTCTAGGTAGATGACACACAGTAATATACTTCTTTTGGCTGTCATTTTGTGCTGGTAGCAACGTCTACTTCACCAAGTTGGTTCTGAACATAAAATAAAATAAATCCTAGGAGAGCCTTGGAGCTTTGCCCAGAAACTCCCTCCATGATTGTTTTATCCCTTCCATGTGACAAGGTTTTCATTCACGGGAAACAGATTCCTGTTGCGCATAATAGGAATGGTAGCTTCTGTGAACTCAGCTGTGCACTCCCAGTGAGCTGGCATTTCTGCCCAGGGACTTCTCAGCGAGCTTGTGCTTGGAGTGAGTGTGCGGTGGAAGGCAGACATCTACTGAGATTACCACTCATGGGGTTGTTGTGAGGATTAAATGAGACACTTGTGTCACATGCATAGCCCAGCAAGCACTTCACCAGGTGGTTGTCCTAACTTGTATTGCTGCTCTCCTTTTCTTGATCTGGTCCATGCTCAGTGGCTTTTGGAGAATTGTGGCCCACAGCCTGAAGGTCCCCTGCCATTTCTCAGGGCCCTCCAGATTCTCCTGAATCAGAACTTCCTTCAGCCTCATGAATTCCTTTTATCCCTTATCCCCCATCCTCATTGGTCTGACCCCCTTACCTGAGACAGGGACTTGGAACTAGAAAAAATGGGCAGCCCCCAACTCCCTGCATAATTAGCTTGTTCAGACTCAGTTGAAGGAGTATTATTCCAGGGGTGATGGGGCTCATGAGCACATTCCTCCCCTCCTCAGAAGGGCAAGACACGCCTGCTAATTAGGAGTGAAGTCTTATTTGATTGTTCTTGGGTGTTACTGAGCATCTTCAGGCTTCTTATTCATTACAACTGTGACCATGATGGCCTTCCTCTCCTTCCAGATGAGTATAAATGACAGGCCTTTTCCTTCCCTGGGCATCTTGTGTAGGTCACATGCCTGTTTCTGTGTAGAGAACAGACTACTGTCCTGCCTCTGGGACCCCTGGCTTCAGTAACTACACTTGTTCCCCTTCAGAAAGGAGCAGGAGGGTGGTGATGGTGAGGCCCTCCTTCCCCGTTAGGTTAACCATATTGGACAGAGAAGCCACTGACGGATCATTCTGATAGCCGTGTGGAAGATGGTTGATTTAATAACCTTTGTTCAGTACACTTTATACCTCTACTGTACAGTTAGCACTAGGAGAGCAGCAGTGACACGGGCCCAGGTCCTGTCGGCATGGATCACCTGGGGTGTTGGTTAAAAAATGCAGATCGCTGGCCCTTTGCAGAATCTGGAAGTGCAATCTGGAATGCTGTATGCTCATCAAACCCAGCTGACTTAAAGTCACTCAAATGTGAGAACCATTATTCAGTGTTTGAGCAAATAGAGATGGAGTTAGGCTGACCAGGGAGGAGACTTTGTGTTGGGGAAGGGCTTTGTCCCTAGAGTATCCTTGGAAGGAAGAACCCGTGCAAGTCCCTGTTGCTCATGTAAAGCTTTTAGCATCTGAGGCTACCTTCATATCAATGAAACAGTCCCACTTTCTCAAAGCAGGAACATATGCAGTCCCTTAAAGTCATCTCCCTCCCCTAGTCAGGAGCTCCCAGCACTTTGGGTTCATAGTCAGGCCACTTACCCCTCCCCACCCCAACCTACCCCTGGCCTCTTATAAAGCCATCTCTTAGGGAATCTTGGACTCGACACTCTTTCCCATTGACCCCTAACATGGAGCAATAAGAATCACCCTTCAGAGAGACACTTGTGACATGAACTGTCCTCAGAGAGGTTCCTCATCCAGACTCTTCTCAGATCTTTCACAGCCAATTTCATAGCAGAGGGCTTCTTAGTTGTTGGCAAGACATTGGCAGTAAGGCCACCTGTGAGTGGAAATCTTGTCAGCCTCCTTTCTTACAGTCTGAGAACCCAGTCAGCACCTATGGACTGATACCTAGGGATTTGTGACTGTGCTCTCCAGGACTTGTCTCTTGCCTTTCTGGAAATAGTTATACATGAACTTCTTCCAGTTGACAATGACAGCTACCACAGAATGCCCTACAGTTTTCCATATACCTAAAAATCTCTAGAACTTGAGAAACTAGGGAGCCCAGCAGTGGATTTGATCTTATTTTCAACACAAACTTATAGAGCTACTGTTGAACCATAACGCAAAGAAAAGACCACCGACTCCAATTTTAAATCAAATTAAAGCAAGCTAATATTGTTTACACAAAGAAAACTGGCCAGCGGCTGTCTCTCCCTAAGCTGGGCTAGAAATCAGCACCCCAGCTCTCCAGGAAAAAGGTTTTATAGCACAAAAAGTTGCAAAGGTTGGTGTCTTGAGAAACTTACAGCTAACAGGATTTTGACAAGCATAATACAAAAGCAGATAGTAGGTTGATGATCTACATGGCTTAACATTTCAAGGTTGGGGATAAATTCAGATCCTAACATCAGAATTTATGGGGCGCCACTGAGGTTTCAGAGAGGGTTGTTATCTGGTCAAGGAGAGCCAGGCATGGGTAAGTTCAAGGCACGGGCAGGAATTCCAAACAAGTTTAGAAATCTCAGTAATTTATAGTAAAACAGAAATTAACTTTTCATGACTTTGTGATGAGATGGCTCTCAATCTTAAGATGGAATTAGGCTGGGTTCATCACTGCCTGCTCAAAGATTCCTTCCTACTCCTTACAATAGAGAAAGCGTTGATCTTTCTCCAGGTGGGTCCGGGATCCCATACCTGTTTACTCTCTGCTTCTGCCTTTCCAGATAAGTTTCATATCCAGCATCTTCTGTCCTGAACTGATCTTCCCTGGACACCCACTTGGCTAACATTCCCACTTTGCTTCCCATGATAGCTTCTTGTCTTGAAGTACACTGTGTCTTCTCATCTTCTCCACTTTGTTCCTGAAAGTCTAGAA